AGACCTACATAGAGGAAGGGGATGCATGACAGAACTGGGAATGCAGATGAGTATGGGAAGAGTGCCTGCTCTGTAAGTTATCCTAGGATAATTGGCATTCCACCTTAAAAGACAAAGGAGAGGGCTTCCCTGGTGGCGCAGTGGTTGAGAGTCTGCCTGCTGATGCAGGGGACGTGGTCGTGTCCCGGTCCGGGAAGATCCCACATGCTACGGAGCAGCTCGGCCCGTGAGCCATGGCCGCTGAGCCTGCGTGTCCGGAGCCTGTGCTCCGCGACGGGAGAGGCCACGAGAGTGAGAGACCCACGCACCGCAAAAAAAAAAAAAAAAAAAAAAAAAAAAAAAGACAAAGGAGAAAGAAAGGGCTGTAAAGAGTCTATACAGAGTCAATACTAAACAATCCTACCATAGACAGCTGGCCGAAATGTTTTTACACAGGAAAGTGGCATGATTTGATTTGTGTTTTACTTCCTATCCTGTGGGTGACTATTAAAGGAATTTTCTCTGATAATCTATTTCCATTTGCCAGTGAAAGGAAAATATTGTGATCATAGGTGTTGTGCTTCCTTTCACAATGATTGCTCATTGCTTTCAGAGAAAAATGTGTTCAACTGTTTGACTAGTTGTCTCTCAGCGTGTCTTGCAATCACGTAATTTCTTAAATCTGCCTCTGTAACTCTTATTTATTATATATTTCCTTTGGCTACATGGAGGAGTCTCTGCCAATCTTAAACTACACTTTCTGGCTTTGCATTTCAGTAGTACTTGTTTTGATACCTTAATTTTTTGCATTATACAATTATACTTGCTCTATAAATTATGTCATTGACTCACAGTTCATGGACTAATCAATCTGTGAAAATCTATGACAAGAACAAATATTTCATAATTTATTTAAAAATATACTTACTTCCCACAAATGCATTTTCAAATGGCATAAACCTTTAAATTGACAGGAAAAAAACAAGCATTTTTGAAAGCATTAGTGGAGTGTTTAACAAACTTGGTACAATAGTAAACAGTGGGTGAAGGTTAATTTGCTTACTTTCTCCTGCTTTATTTGTAGATATTAAGCTAATTGAGATGAATTTAAATGGACTACATAAATTTGGATTTTAAGGTGAATTAAACACAATTTAGAGAACGTGGAACTATATAGTATTAAACATGGAGAGTATTTTGTATTGGTAAAATCCAAGCTCCTCTTTCTAGAAAAAATGGAAATTAACAAAACCAAGTCACATGGTATTCTGCAGCTGATAATGTGGTTGTGATCTGCTCACTGGTAGAATCAAGACTGAGCACAGGCTTCTTAATAAACTAAGTACACCTTCCTATATGAATTATATTTATGTAATACATATAATCTTTTCTCAAACTGAAACTTCATTTAACAGACAAATTTGCACACACACACACCCACATATCACAAATGTCCACTATTTTTTCCTAGATATTACCTCCAAGACATATGAAATAATAAAGGATCATTTGCATTTGCATTTTCAGTTGCAAATTATTTCTTAACATTTAGTTAGTGATACATACTCCAGCGAGAAATACATAGTTTGCTATGAATGTTTTTTGAGTTTGAGTGATTATTCATGGATTACACTGATGTTGACAATAATCTACTAGAAATAGGGTTAAATAATATACATTCTTTTTAAAGTGTCCTGTCTTTATAGAGTCATTATCAAACTATTAATATTGTAGGAGAGCCTGGTATTCAGTTATTCTCTCATAAATTTCCAACTTACCTGTTTAATCTTACATATAGTACACTAACCGCAAAAAAAGACTCCATTCTTTGAAATGTGATATGCTAAACCATAAAATCAAAGGAAAAAGACTCAGCTAAGAATTACTTACTTTTTCTATGTATTTATTTTATTAAAGGAAAATGTGCTGTTGGAGTAATTGTTCATAATTTATCAAAGAAGAATATTATACACATTGGTTGTATTTCGTTTGTTCTAATTTAAATATGTATTTATGCCTCAGAAGCTATATTTGCCATTTCTTCTAAAATATATTTATTCTATTATTCTTCTAATATATTTAAAACCCTTCTTTGTGCTATGGGGGAAGGCAGGGTTACTGGCTTCTGATTTTTCACTGAAACAGCTTTGAAGTTTTCTTTATCTTCATGCATTAGAGCTGGCTATGGCTTACTGTGCACTGGAAATTCAAATAGTTTTGTGTCAAAAATTTCAACTGCTCACCAGCATCAACCAAATTTCACATAATTTTTTTAGTGACTAGACTCATTTGTATACTCAATATGCACGGTTAGAAATGAAGGTAAGAACTATGTCTCAGAAGGAGAAGCAGAGGCAGGAAGTTGGAGATGAAAGTTAAGGTCTCGGGCTTGGACATGTGATTTGCACTTCAAGTCTTTGATCTGCTAATAACCAGGAAACAAAGTATGAATCTGGGAAGTACTGGGATACCAACTTCATCTGCGGTGAACCCTACCCTGATGTCTCAGTGGGAACTGACCCCATCCTTATCTCCAGTGGAGGGCTTCATGTGTGACCCAGTTCTAGCCAGTCAACTACTAGGAGAGGTTCATTCTACACTTGGGAAAATTCTTCCTTCCTCTTTTGAAAACTGAATGACTAGGAACACAAATAAGAAGGTATGTCACTTAAGCTACCACTGGCCACCATTTTAGAATCAGGAGAAAAGCAAGCCTTAGATTAAATCTTGCCATGTGAGTAGAAGAACAGAGACAGAAGAAATCCAGCTCTTTTATGAGGACACAGCTGAGCCTCTACATACACAAGCATCCATCTGGAAGCCTGTCCTATCCTTGAACTTCCTTTTACATAAGCCATTAAATTTCCTTGTTGCTGAAGCTACATTGAACTGGGCTTTCTGGTTAGTTACACCAAAAGCATATAACCTCATTCAGAGGTATAATTATAAAATGAGGGCATACAATTCAGATAACAATTCTTCTATTTGAAAAAAATGAAAACCAAAATTCAGGAACTTGTAATCTAGATAATGAAAAATGTATGGAATTATAGCCCATCATTACTGAATATAGTCTCTATACATATCTTTTCTTCACAAAACCATTCTGTAATTCCCACCACCACTTTTTTTAATAGATTAAGATTTTCACTAAGGGAGATGTCAAATAAAATCTGTATTCATGCATTTGAATAGGAAACACTACAAATATGGTTGAATACTCTATGCAAAATATTTCCTGATTTTTTTAAAATTCAAACATAAAAAAATGTAATTTTCCAACCACATTTAAACAAAATTAATTATATTTTCCATAAGAGATAGTGTTTTTACATGTTTAAGAAAACCAAGCACTTGGGGTAGAATGCTGAACCAAACATATATGGCTCTTGACCTCATGTAGCTTACAACTGACTGCATGTATGTATGGGCTTTTATTACAGAGCACTAATCACATGATGGCAAAGCCACTTAATCTTTTTAGTCCAAAAAAATACCTATCTTAAAATAATGAAATTAAAGTAAGTTTTGAGTTAGCTATTGTTGGAAAATATATTTCTTTCTGAACCATTTTAAAGATATATAGTGTTTTCTTTATTTCACCAATGTTGAGTACATCCATGTTGTAATGTTAGTCTTTTTCTGAAAATGTATTATGCTTTTTTACATTTTGAACTTTAAATATAACAGATATTTGTCTCCATTCACAATTCATTCAAATAAATGGATGAAACTTTCCAAATTATTTAATGTTTTGCCTTCAACCTCATCATTAAAACTCTACAAGGAAAAAATACTTGTCTATATAACATAACAACTAAAACAATTCAAAAGCCAAAATTGAAGGCATTGTTAATATTTTCAATCTTTAAGCAACTTTCTAATGAATTCCTTGATTTAAAATATATATATATGTTTTTATGTCTACAAAGCACAAATGTTTTCTGTCAGTATTTTGAACCTTCTTATTTCTACTTAAAATGAAATATTTTCTTTGAGGTTTAGCTGATTATTTCCTTAGAGCTTTTTACAAGTTTGAAAATTTACACAATGAGTATTTCTAAAGCTTTATTGAAATCTTAAAATAAGAAAAATACTCTGCATAAAATGTAAACCGTGTTTAAGTTTTAAAATACAGATTTTATGAAGAGTGTTATCCTATGATGGGCAGTAAACTAAATCTCACATTGTTCCATGAATAATCTCTTCTATCAATATTAATTGTGAAAGAATAAACAATTTGGAAGTTTTAAATGAGAGTTTGTATATATGTATGTGTGTCACAGAAGGAGGACAGAAAGGAGAGAGATTCAAATTCATGGTTACAGGAATATCATCAATCAGCAAGGATCAATCAAGTATTTATCAAAGAAAAGTAACTTTTAATAATGATATAATTAACTTAGAGAAATAAGCTAACTAGGTTTCATTAATCATATATTTATAAATTTAAGAAATTAAATTGTCAAAGTATTTTGCTCAAAATGTCTCTGTGTTTTACTTGAAAGACTAAGGCTAATTAAAACATAATCATTCAGAAAGCAAAAGAAAAACAAAGAGAAAGAGATGTTTTTTAAGACGCTGAGATAATATAGCATTGTTACAAAAAGGTGGCAGTTCCTTTATTTGCCAATATTCTTTGTCAGCCCTCAAACACCACCAATCAAATTAACAATGACACAAATCAAAATTTTGTACCAACATCTTATATATACAATAAGGATGTCTTTAGAAAATGTTCTTATTTCTGGTGACCTGTAACATAAAATCTAGGTAAGAGTACTTGAAGATCTAGACATCCCTACCCTCCAATGAAATTTGATCATGATGCCTCCAGTACATATAAATTATGTCAAACCATGGTGACAATGACAAAGAAAATAGGTGCCCAAGCTTGTCATAGGTAGAAAAGAGTCAGGTCAGAGCCATTTCAGAAAACATTATGCTAACGTTATAATGTGATGTCCAACTATTGAACATTTCCTTCCAACATAAATTGTATTTTCTTTCTGACTCCACAGATATCAGTTGTGTTTGTTATTACGGAGATTCCTATCTAGAATTTCGGAATGTGTTTTTAAATCCACAAAATAACATATCCCTAGAATTTCAGACCTCCAACGCCTATGGACTCCTGCTCTACATCAAACAAGACTTAGATTCAGGAGATGGACTTTTTATTCAATTATTTATTGAAAATGGTACTTTAAAGGTAAGTCAAATTTATTTAACATAAATTTTATGAAGTTGTTATGATTCACCACTTTAGTGGTTATTATCAATATAAAATTTAACCTTAATTATGTCTTTTATACCCACCACCAGGCTGTGTGTCCTGTTTTTTGTAATTTCTTCCTGTTCGGTGTACACTATTGATATGTCAAAAGAGTATACGCTTTAAATAGCGTTCATTCTCTTCTTTTCTCTATATTTTCAACTTTTCTTCCACAATTATATTTCCCAATTTCTCAATTATAATTGCTGCAAATTTTTTATAACTTTAATGGCAGACGTGATCTGGGAACACTTGGGAAACCCCAGGTTTCTTTCAAAGGATCTTTAAGGGGAACACTCTCTTTATAATAACACTAAGATGTTATTTGTCTTTTTCGTACTCATTTTCATAAGTGTACGTAGTTTTCCAGAAGCTTCATGATGCGATGTCATCCCTCTGATCACTAGTGTAATGTGTACTTATATGTTTTTGTGTTTTAAAAGTCTGTTTTAATTTTAGTATTATACATATTGATAGATATAATCCAATACACAAAACTCTTTAGGGCCCTCAATAATTTTTCAGAGTGCAAAGAGGTTCAGATATCAAAAATTTGAGACTGCTCACTTAAAACTTGCCAGTGTTTATAACAATCTTCCTTTAAAAGTCCAAAATTACACAGCTAAATTTTGAAGCCAATGTTGAATTGAAAATGCATGCTCTTTTCCCAAGACCATTGTACCTTAACAAATCGCCTCATATTCCTGTTCTAAATACTCAGATTAAGGAAGTCATCAAGTCGTCACTGCAATAAGGTAATTAACTCAACACAGTCTAGTATATGAAACATGACAACAGTATTTTAGATGTTATTTAAATATGATATGAATTTCCATAAAAGTGTGAGGTACACCTTCTAACTTAAATAAGCCAAGTTGTACAAGTTTGATTTTCTTTAAATACTCACCTTTCTTAAGTAATATAACACATATACACAATTTAGTAAAATGTCTGATATAAACAAATGTCAACCAGATGTAGCAGATTAGTAGTGGTAGCATTATCTTTATTCAATTATCCATTTTTTCACTCATTCATTGAACATTTATCCATCCCCAGTGACAGTGCCAGTTTGTGAGGATTAAATGGTAAATAAAACACACTTTGTTCTCATATTGCTTCAAATTGATTACAGATAATAATAACAGGTGAAAATGGAACAAGAAAATAGAATTATGTAATGAATAGAATACTATAATGAGTCATCAAACATCAGTCTGACCCTTTAAGATAAGGTTTGCTGATCCCTGCTCTACAGCATTTTCCTCGACTAAGACCAGAAATTTCTGTTAGTCTTATAATAAGCAGAAAACATGAAGAGATCAAATATAAGGAACTATCAAGCACACATAATATTGAGCCCTGGTCACGTCCAGCACATTTTTCTACTCCTAACTCAGCTCACAATTCAGCCAGCCCCTCTCACCACAGTGGATGTCTCCAGAGACATGGTGAGCCACACCAGAGACTTGTAGAATTATCGGTGAAAATATGTATGAAATAATGGAGAACAGAGATTTCTTTCACTTTCAAGTGGATAAAAATAAATTCAAATTAGCTGAACTAAGACATTTAGGAATTATAAAACTGTAATGGATGAAGAAAGGTGTAGAATTTCTTTCTTTTAGGTTTTATGACAAAGAAAACATATATATTGATACTCTGTAATAATTACTATAATTTATTGGATTGCAATTACGTGTTGGGCTTCAACTTAAGAAAATATATTAAGATCATGGACTCTAGAGCAAGAATGTTAGAGTTGGAACACCAGCTCGGCCATTTAGGGGTTTTGAGGTCTTGCAAAATTTAAGCTGTCTGGGCTGGAGTTTACTCACTCATGAAGGAGGGTAGTAAATGTAGGTGTGAGGTTTAAATTAGTAAGTGGATAAATATTGTGAAGTTAGTGTAATACAATGGGTGAGTAAGTAAAGGCATATAAACTCATAGAAGAAAGCCTGGGACATATTAATCCAATATGAGGAGGAGGTATTTCTCTCTGTATCTCACAAAGACCTCGCAGCCCAGTGGAGGTTCTCAGAGTGTTCGGAATTACACATGCTCTTTGAACTCTTTCAAAGATAGTAGATCAGGAATTGTTACTCCGTTGTGTCAGTCCAAAATCCATGTTCTTTCCACACCCATCATTGTAATGATTTAAAGGAAATTTCAGTGCTATCCTATCTTTATGATTTTAAGATTTTCCTTATTCTGCTATGATTTTTCGAGACTATGTTCCAATTTTCTCATTCATTTTGAAAGTATAATCATATGGGGAATGTATTTACATTACAATTTTCACGAAAGATATATTATGGTTGAACTCTTCCAGTGATCATAATTTAAGACCTATTCAAATTCTAGAAATGCAGAATTGTTAGTCAAATATTTTTTAGGAAATTTAAGTTTCAAAGATAAATGTATCAAAATTAATTTTTAAAACTATTTCATTGGCTCTTTCTAATAACAAGGAGGTAAGCAGGTACATCCATGTTGGGACTCAAATGTCAGTCCCTTCACTTATTAGCTGTATCACGTATCACTGTGCCTCCCTGACTGGAGCAGATAACTCCCCCTCAGTTTCCACCTCTGAATAAAGAAGGTAATAAAAGAGTAGTACCTACTTCACAGATTTTTTTGTGTTTTGTTTTTTTTTTTGTTTTTGTTTTGTAAGGAAGCAATCAGCTGAAACCTATAAATTACTTTAAAAATCCATGGTACAGAGTAACAATCACAGTAGCTATTGTTTTATATATATATCATAAAGGACCTATTTTTAATAAAAGAAAAAATTCAAATACAATTAATAAAATCATCCATTAAATATTTTTAAATGTTTAACTTTTACATCCCTGAAGATAGGAATTAATAAGACTTAGCTGTACCTGAAAAATAATTTTCTGATATATTTGAACAAAACAAGGAGATTACCACCCCCCATACACACACATTGTTGGCCAGTAAATTATCATTTAAACTTAAGTAACTGTTTTAACTAACAACATAGATCTCCTAGTGATGTACATAAGAAATAGCTAAATTATTATCCATGCTCCCAAAAATATTAAATATTAAATCTGGTCACCTTGATTGCATACTAGACACAGCATAAAAATGCAATAGACAAATGTGGCCTTTTATTAGTTACACATGGCTTGAGAAGAATGTACAGCCAAAGGTCATGCCACTGATTTTCTGGTAAAGTATATGTAGATATATTTGATTTTGAAAATCTCAGTGTTGTTTAACATAGTTCTTAAAGTGAACCCTCAGTAGATAATTTTATAAAGGAAAGGAACCTTTTTGAGATGACCAAATATCATAAAAATTTAAGATATATAGCATTATGTGTACCTTTGGGTTACATGTGGGAAGATATAGACATACAAATTTAATGTAGCTGGATGCATAGGAGTTATGAAACACTATGCAACTGTGTTTCTTTAACTTATATGTGGCTTACAGATCTCTAATAGATATGCTAAAGACTATAAAGGCCCTTTCTGGGAAAGAATGGCCACAATATAACTGATATACATTCAGGAACATGCTGTTGAGAGGATGTAGGCCACTGCAGCCCATTCATGGAATTCCCAGGGGTGTCTGGCCAAGCATTATCTACTATAGACATGATTTGCTCCTTTTAAAACCATAACTCAGTTGGTCCAATTAACAATAATCCCACAAATGGCCATAGCCCCCTTCAATCCTCTGGAAGTTTAGGATGAATGATTAAATTTCATAATCTTTAAGTTTCCCTTGTTTGACGTTAACATCACTGTCTAGATGGTATACACTAGTGTTTGCATTGCTCAGTAACTAGAATCTAAGGAAAATTGCCTATTAACATTCACTCCCAGCTAGCAGAAGCTGCCTTTCTCAACCAGGCTCCCCAGAATACAAGAGAAACCAGAAGTGTGTGTGTGTGTGTGTGTGTGTGTGTGTGTGTGTGTGTGTGTATGTGTACATGTGTATGGTTTATGTGTATGTATATAACATGTATGCATTTATGTGTTTTAATTCTAGCACTTATTAGTTGAACACCTTGAGCTGTCACTTTAATTTTCAGACTTCTTATCTCTCCAACACAATAATATATTACTGGTAAATTGTAATGTTCAATACAAAAATAAGATGTTAATTTCACACTGAAAAACTGTTTGAGGAAAAAATTTTTTTCCCCGTAGTACCACTTTTTCTGTGCTGGTGAAGCAAAATTGAAAAGCATTAACACTACTATTAAAGTGGATGATGGACAAAAGTATACACTGCTTATCAGGTAAGATACATTTTTTATTTCCACTTCATCTCATATGCAGCAAAGACTATTTCTCTGGATATTGTTCTTGAACTTTAAAGTGGAGGCTCTCCAGATTAATATTCACATATTCTTGTATGTAAATGAATGTTCATCAAACCATTCTGTCTTTTCTATATGTCCTAAAATAGTACTGGGGAAAGAATGTTATAGGAATTATATTATCAAGGAATTTACATAAGCAGATTTACAAAAAGAAGCCCTGAAAGCCTCACAATGTTTCCCACTTAAAGGAGTTGTGAAAACAAACCGGTATTTCTTTGAATAAACAAAGTCAAATATATTCACTATAGAAAATGTGGAACATTCAAAAAAACATAAAGAAGAAAAGTAAAATGATCCATTATACCACAATTGATATAGAGTAATGAATATATATTATTATATTCCTAAAACCTGCATTTGAAGTTGACTTTACCCCCCAAATCCTCACCAACATCAGATATAATTTTGCCAATCTATTAAGTGAAATTGACATTTTCCCCTAATTTGCATTTTTTTAAATTTTTAGTAAGGCCTAATTTTTTTTTTTTTTTGCGATACGTGGGCCTCTCACTGTTGTGGCCTCTCCCGTTACGGAGCACAGGCTCCGGACGCGCAGGCTCAGCAGATATGGCTCACGGGCCCAGCCGCTCCGTGGCATGTGGGATCTTCCCGGACCGGGGCATGAACCCGTGTCTCCTGCATCGGCAGGTGGACTCTCAACCACTGCGCCACCAGGGAAGCCCGTAAGGTCTAATTTTTAATACATAGTATATATTATGTGTTTTGCCTCTCTCCACCTTTTTTTCTAAATAAGTGATATTTTGAAACACACACCATCATCCTTATCCAGTATGTAGACTAAAGTAAATTATTTGGTTATGGCAATAGGTTATTATTTGGTAAAAATAATTAACTGTTTAAAGTGAAAAAAAGAAGAAAGCAAAGAGGCAAAAAACAGAGACTGGGAAGGAAGTAAAAGGAGAAGTTTTAAGGAAGTCTACCCTCTTTTATCCAGAACTACCCAAATCCTATTGTCTAGAATCCAGACTCTTAGGGAAAAATAATGAAAAAACAATTTATTATCAACTAAATTGTGGAAAGGCTACATCACATATACCTTCCCTGACACTCAAAATTCACGTGTGCATTTTAAGACTCCTGAGATCCTAATTTAATAAAGTGTCGCTTTCTTTGCTTAACTCAAGACATGGGCACAGGACACTTTAATGTTTTTCTTCAGCATTTTAGCCTCTTGAATAACCAATGCTGAGGGCAATGCACTTTGGAAAATGCCATCCTAGCCAAGGTGATAGTTTCCCAAGGCAGAGGGTACCATCATCTGGACAGAAAGCAGGTCTATGAACATTGGGGTAGCAGTGAGAATTGTATCACAAAAGACATATTTGCACCCTTCAAAGGAAACAAAGACAGGTGATAAATGGTGGGAGAGACAGAGAGTGCACCAGAAGATGCTATTCTAACTTGGGGAGTGTTGAAAAATGGTTAAAAAATAAATTGAGAACACGGAAACCATAGTTACAGTTTATTAAACACCAATTATGTGTCAAGTCATAATTCTATTACATATACAAATTTACTCATCTCTAAGAACAATTTAATTATTAACTTTTATTATAGTTTCTTTCATTTTTTATTGAAGTATAGTTGATTTACAATGTTTCAGGTATACAGCACAGTGATTCTTTTATACATATATGTATTCTTTTTCATATTCTTTTCCATTATGTAGTTTATTATTAGATATTGAATATAGTTCCCTGTGCTATACAGTAGGACCTTGTTGTTTATGAATTAACATTTTATTATAGTTTTACTATCATTTCCCAGACGTAGAACTAGGAGATATAGAGGTTAAATACAGAAAAAAAAAAAAAAAAAACGGTTTGAAAAGGGCACAATTCCAAGGCTACTCCAAAACGTCTGAATATGTTTTAAGTCATGGGTACAATGACCCACGTTGTAGAAACATAGTATAATTTGATCTCTTATCTTCTTCTACCCTGAAAGAACTGCTGTATGTTCAAGATAAGATAAAGATAAGAATTATAAATGATGTTCCCTGGACTTCCCTGGTGGCGCAGTGGTTGAGTGTCCGCCGGCCGATGCAGGGGACGCATGTTCGTGCCCCGGTCTGGGAAGATCCCACATGCCGCAGAGCGGCTTAGGCCAGTGAGCGATGGCCACTGAGCCTGCGCGTCCGGATACTGTGCCCCACAACGGGAGAGGCCGCAAGAGTGAGAGGCCCGAGTAACGCAAAAATAATAATAATAATAAATAAATAAATATAAATGATGTGCCCTGCAAAAAAGCCTTCAAGCAGCAAGAACAATATTAATTAGCAAGCACTAAACAACCACCATATGCCAGATGCTTTACAGATACATAACTAACTAAGCATCACAGACTGGGAGACTTAAATTACATAAATTTACTTTCTCACAGCTCTGGAGGCTGGAATTCTGAGATCAAGATATCGGCAGGACTTGCAGCAACATGGCTGCAACTAGAGATTATCATACTAAGTGAAGTAAATCAGAAAGAGAAAGACAAATACCATATATCATGTAAATGCAGAATCTAAAATATGACACAAATGAACCTATGTACAAAACAGAAACAGACTCACAGACATAGAGAGCAGATCTGTGGTTGCTAAGGGGGAGGGATGGATTGGACGTTTGGGATTAGCACATGCAAACTATTATATATAGGATGGATAAACAACAAGGTCCTACTGTGTAGCACAGGGAATCGTATTCAGTATCCTGTGATAAACCATAATGAAAAAGAATATTTTAAAAAAGAATATATATATATATATATATATATATATATATATACACACACACACATATACGTGTGTTTGTGTAGTATAACTTTGCTGTAGAGCAGAAATTAACACAACATTGTGAATGAAGTATACGTCAATAATTTTTTTTTTTAAAAGATAATGGCAGGGTTGGTTTCTTCTGACGCCTCTCACTTGGCTTGTATATGACTGTCATCTCCCTGTATCTTTGAGCCATATCCTCTGTGTGTCTGTGTTCTAATTTCCTCCTCTTATAAAGACATTAGTCATGAGGGATTAGAGCCCACCTAATTGTTTCATTTTAACTTCTTATCTCTTTAAAAACCCTACCTTTAAACAGTCACATTCTGAAGTACTGAGAGTTAAGACTTCAACATATGAATTTTTTATGAGTCCATAACACACATTTTGCACATTTCAAAGCTGAGGATCATAGAAAGTAAGCAACTTTCTCAAGATCACGTGGTGCTAGTCAGTGGGAGGGCAAGATGAAAACCCAGATCTCTTAAATTTTTCTACTATAGCATGTCCAGTCTGTGTTTTAGAAGTGACTATATACTGTTTAAAGTGTTTTTTAAAAGAAAAACATTACAACATCTCAGGGGTACCTATTTTTTCTCTATCCTCAGCACATGTCACTTTTAAGGATGTTTAACAGCAAAAAAAAATCACTTTCCTTAAAGTTATATAACTACAATTTGTTTTTTGCAATTTACACACACCATTGCTTTTTACTTTTATGAAAAAGTAGTTGACAACCTGTCTATATCTGGTCTAAGTTATCTAAATTCAGAAATATTTCTTCACAGGTCCTGGGTTTGTTTGAAGTAATGGAAAATTTATATAAATATTCATTTTTCTTATTTTTATCATCTATAAAGAACAAAAGTGGAGCTCCATTAATTTTACTTTTCTACACCTTTAAAACATACTTAGAAGTAAAAGGGAAAAAGAAAATTTCAATTTTAAGTTTAAATCAATTCAGGAATGCTATGGCTACAATTAAAAAAATATGTATTCTGTGTGCACGTTATTCTTTATTTTTTCCTGGACGTGCCGTGCAGCATGTGGGATCTTAGTTCCCTGACCAGGGATCAAACCTGTGAAGTCTCTGTGGCCATAATTTTTTGACCATTAACATACTCTTTAAAGTAAAGCTAATGGTATGCACACGTTTCACTCCCAACTCTACACTCTCATCTTGTTTCTGTTGGATGATGACGTTCCATTGCATATGAATATAGGAGAAGTATCCTTCCTTCCATGCTCTAGTGGAATTGTGGGGGGGGCGGGGAAGCAAGGCTGTGCACCGCCTATGAAGAAGGGCTCTCTCAGAAAGACTGAAACAAATACTCTCTGTGAAAAAGTAACTTGGAAAGCTCATTATTTTTGGAACAAGGAAAGACAGGATTTCTGCAGAGGAGCATGATACTTTTAAAAAAGAAATGTGTGATTGTTTAACCTAACAAAAGCAGGAAGGAAAATATGGAGTGCTTAAATCAGGTGAAATGCACACTGGTATAGTAAAGGTATTAAAAGTACATGTACTAAAACTATTTTACTGAGATATTAGCTAAAGCTGTTGCTCATCTTTTAACGAAAGGGAAAGTACAAATGAAACCAAGTAGTGATGTTAGGCTGCAAAACCACAGCATATAGTACATGAAGAAGAAAAACAAACAAGAATAGGTAAGCATTTGTCACCCCACTCTTGAACACCTTGATACTCTTAAGGATGAGGTGCTCTATAGTTTATATCAATGGGCTCAGTCATGTGTTCAATTGTGTCTCCAAAGTTTTGCATTGAAGTGCTAATCTCCAGTATCTCAGAATGTGACCTTATTTGAAGATAGCATCTTTAAAGAGGTAATTGAGTTAATCTGAGATTATTAGGGTGAGACTTAATCCCATATGATCAGTGTCTTTATAAAAGAGGGAAATTAGGACACAGAGAGAGACATGCACAGAGGGAAGACAGTATAAAGACAGGAGAAGGCAGTCATCTACAAGCCAAGGAGAAGGACTTGGAACACATCTTTCTCTCGTAGCCCTCAGAAGGAACCAACACTGCTGACACCTTGATCTTGGACTTCTAGCCTGCACAAATGTGAGACAATAAATTTCATTTGTTTAAGCCATCCAGTAT